AACATCTGACCAGTGTGTCCCACGCAACCTTTGCTTTTTCAGAATCAACAATCTTCTCAAACATATACGCATCCATACATTGATGGATGTAGAACAACGCCTTCTGATCTTTCTTCCTTAGAACCCTATGTGTTATCTTCTGTGCCTCTATTGCGTCTGCTTTTAACAAATCATAGCCATCCGTTACAAGATCTAACACATCTTCGGAACCAAATAACATGCGCATCTGGATCTTCCAACGATTCCAGTTTTTGTCATCAAATACTAGAAGCTTGGAATGGACATCGCCGTTGTTTCCGTTTATCTTCTACCTTGTGCAATTTACACAGAAACTCAATAAAGCAGTGTTTCCCAAATCCCTAGAATCAGAAACAACGATTATCACACAACACCTCATTATTCTCTCTTGTTTCTCTTTTCCCCCGTGGATTTAGAAAAAAACTCTAGATACCAATTGTTGGTGCACAAAGAAGAGATGAAAAGAAAAAGGAATATATTTAACGTCGGCTACAAAAATAAGGAATAATGATTTACAATGAATTACATTGAGCTACCTCACTAGGATATTTATACACAAAATAACATCCTAAATATCCTATAACTAAGATATAAAAAGATATAATAATATCCTCTAAAAAGATATTCCTAAAATACAGATTAAATCTAAAATATATTCCTAAAATATAGATTAAATCTAACAGTATGGTCGAGACCCACCAAATCTGCCAGATTATTTAGCAGGAACCACTAATGAAGACCCTTTGGAACTCTCTTTGCAAAACCAATAATAAGTTCTCACATAGTTAAAACAACACTTAAAGAAAAGAAGAGCTCACATGGAAAAGCATACTAACAACAAAAGAAGAGATTTTACCTTTCAAGAGGGTGAGTTCGTCTGAATGAAGCTTCAATCATACCATCAAACCACTTTGTTCCGCCGTGTCTCGCAGAAATTGGCTAAATGTTATTTTGGACTGTTTCGGATCATCAAACGAGTTGAAGCGGTGGCTTACTTTCTCAATTTACCATAATCGTCGCGTAAACACCTGGTTTTACATGTTTCCATGTTGAAACCTTTCAATGGACAGAACCCCACCACAGATTTGAGTCCTCTCCCAAGGCATGATCTAGTCTTTTTCAGTGAAGGAGAAAATGCTCACTATAACACAACAGACCCACATGTTCAAGAACAAAATATCAATTTTGAGTCTCAAATCTCAACAAAGAAGAGGTTAGAAGAGGAGAGAAGACAAAAAAAATGGAAATAAGTGTTTGTTCTGATGCAACAATGTGCAACGAGCCCAAGTCTTTAAGTTACCTTAGTATTTCTCTTGGGAATACATCTCTTGGAACTAAGTTAAAGACTTCAAGTACTTCACTTAAGCTCATAAAGTCTGTACATTCACGTGCCCTTCGGAATCCAAAGTTTTTTTTGACACAAATGACAATATTACCTCGGGTACCAACGGTTGGAAATGCATGCAATCTTCCCCGTTAATTAAAAACGCATCTGCACAGATGCTAACACGTGGTCATAGCTATCCCACTATGGGAACAATAACCGTCACCTTTCCCACTTCCCCAACCTGCAAGCTATCACCTACTCCCACTTTTTCTTCTCCCCAAGATTCCTTCTTATATCCAAATCTCCATTCTCAACCAATCACCTAAATTACACCTTATCCTACTCCCCAATCTCCTCAAATCGTTGGCCTAATTCCAATTTCAACTTGTGATAAGCCCATTTTGCGCCCAACTACCATTCAGCCCGACCCAACTCCAGTTTTGCACCACAAGCCCCTTCTTTTATGAACCTTGAAGACAAGGTTCTTTATGGCCCTGAGAGTATTGTTATGCAGAATGCAAGGCCCATTAGAGAGAGAAATCCATCTGATTTTCTAAAAGATTATATTATAGACTAGGGGTGTTTTTAGCATCAGGTTTTAAGTATTATTGTGTCTTTTATTAAGTGGTCCATGGTCCATCTAGTGATTCAAATCCTAACTATATAAATTGTATGTGCTGCTAGAAATTATCAATCAATGAAGAAAAGTTGTTTTATCATTTTTATCTCTTATGCAACGTAGATGTAAAATTAGCTTAGCATAGTCTATCACAAAACTTCTAATGCAAAAATATAGTTTGTTAAGAAGTTTGACTGGCCATTCATAAATCCTAAGACTACACAAAAGCATGCTTGTATGATTGACTAGACCAATTGAACCCTACCAATCATTGAAATAAGGTGTCCCTTTCAAGTAGTTAGCTTAGCCAATACTTTATCTCCTATGTTCTAGAGATGATGACTTCTAGACTTGTCTTTAAATATAAGAACTCCAAAATAATTAAATGGTTTTTGTCCCACGTTGAATCCAGATGTGCCTCAACCTTGATCCAAAAGTACATCCAATATAAAGCTTACATTTAGTTTCACCGATGTGTTGACCAAAATTTTGATCATATTTTTGAAGGAAATTTAAGAAATAATTAATTTTAAACTGAATTCGATAAATAATCGATTAAAATTAGATTTATTAAAACAATCTATTTTTAACCATAACTAAATTTCGAACTAGTTTTAATTTGGATTTTAGTGAAAAGTAATTTTGATTATAAAGCATAATCTAAATACAGTAGACACTTTTTAAATTAATACTCGGTAAATTAATAAACTCTCTAAAATAATAAATTTGTCCGATCCCGACTTGAACCAATGTAAAAAATTGAAAAACTCGATAAAATAATAAGATAATAATTTTTCGGGAGATCCCTTTATAATTTTTGGTCCCAAGAAAATCATAAATTAATAATTCATAGAAACTGAAAAAAATATATTACACTCTATTGAAATATGATTCAATAGTTGTCTGTTTTCCTTTAAAGTTCAAGTCTATTTGAAGCTCATCTCTAATTTTTCTTATTGCATCCAATAGCTAATGTGTTGTATTTTTGTATTGTATCATAAAGTTGTGAAGAGTGTTCGACGCCATAAGTGCTTCCTTTCGCGTAACAAGCTCCAAAGACACTGTATCATCTTTGTCGTCATCCTCAACATTGCTCTCAATGATAGTACCCACAATATCTTCTAAACTCTGAACATCCGAACATGCTTCATTTTTACATGGGTAGTTCATTAGATTGTCGATATCCATCTTATTACGATAGCCACATTGATTGATCATAGTCTCGAGGTCTTGAGTTTCTTCATCAAAAGTGGATTCATCCAAATTTCTTGCAACGTTACTAGTTGATCGAATTTTACAGTGTCGGAAGCAATTCGCTATTGTTTCTTTTTGAACATTTATCGTTCAAGCTGGGATTGCCTTTCTTTATCTTGTTTTCTTCCATCAAGTTGTTTTGATTCCAGTGAATGATTAGTTTGAAGCCTATAAAATAACCCAGTTTCATCCATATTGAAAACATCTTTCATAGGGAACTGATCAATTTTCTCCCGAATCGATACCAATTTCTGCTCCATGTCTTGTACATCAATAAACCCACTCTCGCCAAAATGACAAAATGACTTTATGTCATGTCGATGCTTGAATTTCCCAAACCATCCTATAGAGAAGTTAAAATCTGAATCGTCATGAGGATACACGAGTTTCATTGTATCTCTTGCCTTCTGCAAAATTAATTCTCCAGTGATATTCACACGTTCTTGATGCTGGAGAAACCACTCATAAACAATCTTCTCCATGTCAGGATATTTTGCTGGTTTGTGTCTTTTGATCTCTGCTCTTTCTTTTTCTATTTCAGCAGAGAGATAGTCATATGACCGCTTAAGTGTGTTTGATATTGTTCCTTGACTAACTTTCAATTGAAATTTTCTCTCAAACCATCTCTGTAAGTCTTTTTGTGTGCTTGCAGAATTATCTCTCTTGTACTCACACAACTCCTTACGTATTTGATCTGAAATAGTTGATTTTGCAACACCTTTTAGATGAGAAGCCATCTTGTGAGATATGGATTGAATACTCTAACACATTCATGTAATTTATATGTGCTAAACTTGCTTAAGAATACATTGAACACATTTGTTCCTCTTGTTTACATTTAATGTACTTCAAAGTCATTATTGATTTCCAATGCATATTAACACAGTAGTTACTAATTTACGTTGAGTCTCAATGTTCGCTGCAACGTAATTCTAAGAGACATAGACTAATCTGCCTTTTTGTTTGGTATGTACAATATAATTATTTAAAAAAATTTAAATTAAGAATTATTAATTTATCGATAATTAATAACTCTTTAAATTAATAAATTTCTTTTATCCTAATATTATTAATTTAAATAATTTCTACCGTAAATAATTTATAAATAGATAGAATTAAATTATTTAACTACATATAATCAATATCTTATACATCATCGGTAATAACGTATTTATTATAAATTAATTTATCTCTCATATACTATTTTCACGAGACACAACTTTAATCTTCAATTATAGTTAAGAATAATTTTTTAATATTTGTAAATTCTATTACAATTGACAAAAATCAATTAATTATATAGTTGTAGCTAGTAAATTTCTCTGCAAATTCGAACATTAATTATATAGTTGTACATGTGACTAAATTTCTCTTATAATATAAAGAATTGATGATTTGGTGTGAAACATGGACAATATTAAATTATTAGGCAAGCCAAATCTCAGTGCTCAGTCACTTCTAGGAAAGTACTCAACATTTTGTCTACTTTTTCTAAGCCAGCAGTGAAAATTATATGTAGGAAACTTCCTATGATGTTATCAATGAAATAAAGCATAGTTGTATAATATTATTATAGCATATTCTTCCCGCCACGTCTCATATCCATGCACCTTCCTCCCTCTTTCCATGAAGACAAATTTAGCTTCTCCATTCTTCCAAGTTCCATCTTCTCAATTATATAACTAACTCTTCATCTAACCTCTTAGACCAAACCATAACAAGTATTCTTATTTACATTAGCTAAATAAAAACTTAACAATCTTAACTCTTAACTTTGCAGGCATGGTTCTTTCTCAAATTGACTACTTTTTTGCAGAGGAGACATCAACTTCTCCCTTGTTTGGTTTTATAGACCTTTTCCTAGGTTTAACATATTTCAACAAAATTCAGAAGTTTATCTCAAGTTTATGGTATTTCCTTTTTTGTCAAGTTCATTCTGGTAGCTCCATAGAGGTAAGAGTGGAGAGGAAGGTTTCAGAATCTAATGAGTGGTCAAATGGTGGAAGAGAAAGTGGTGAGATGATTATAGAAAGAGATGAGGTGAAAATGGTGATGGAAAGAATGGGATTTTTTTGCAGCTCAGAGAGTGAGGAGCTTGATGAAAAGTATGGTTCCAAGGAGCTTTGTGAAGTGTTTGAGGAGAATGAGCCAAGCTTGGTGGAAGTGAAGCAAGCTTTTGATGTTTTTGATGAGAATAAAGATGGTTTTATTGATGCAATGGAGTTGCAAAGAGTTCTTGTTATTTTGGGATTGAAGGAAGGATTAGAGTTTGAGAATTGTGAAAAGATGATCAAGAGATTTGATGAGAATCAAGATGGAAGAATTGATTTCATTGAATTTGTAAATATTATGAGAAATCACTTCTGCTGATTTGTGTGTTCCTTTGTTTAAGGATGTTTATTAATATAATAATATAATGATTTTACACGAATAACATTAAATTTAAGAAAATAGAAGTAATGGAATATAATTAGGTGTTAACTATAACTCCGATGTAGGATACTATGACAAGTTACAAACATGCAAAGATGCAAAGTGCAAATTGAAATAAATGAATATTTCAAAAGAGACAGGAATGTTAAATAGGTAGTGAAGGATCAAAAGCATTAAGGGAATGTAAACCAGGACCAGCCTTAAGGCTAAATAGTTTAAATTAGGATTTTAGAGTTCAAAAATTTGGATCAAAGACTTTAAAGAATTTAAGTTAATTGTAAATATATAATATGTGAAATTAATTATATAATTTTTTAAAAGTATTTGTTGTTTCTTTTGGATTGACGCGTTATGCAAAACAAAATAGTATGTTCAATTAATTCTATGAAGAAGTACACATGTGAGAACAAATATTTCCTTTGTTGATGTGTCCTTTGTTGTTATGTGTGTGCGGGTTTTTCAGTTACAAAGCGTGTTTCTGTTATTTGTGGATGGAATCAAATCAAATATTCAAATGAGTAAATCCCATAAATGATTGAAGATCACAAGTTTTGAGTATTGTTTTAGGTTGAGTCTTTTGTTTGTGTTAATTGTACACCATGCCATAGCTTCAGTCACTTGACATTGTAGTTGGTTTATTTAGTTGATTTGCAATTCAACAACGATCACTTTAATTATTGTTGTAGGTCACTTGAGATTAGTGATTGAGAGAAAGTGATAGGGGCATCTCATATTTAGGAGGAGACCTAAATAGAAAGACATTGAGGTTAGAATTAATAAGAGGGGCGTTGAACAATGGGCTTGTTCATCTAAGATACTTTGTATTAATTCTATTAAAGAGTGGATTTCTTTTTGTTGTGAAAATGATGCCAAGAACAGAGCATAACAGGTTTCTTTGAGACAAGAAACTCACAATGTATGAATCAGGAAAGTAAGAAGAACACAAGGAATTGGTTATTAAATCCTCTTCTTTACTTTCTCTTTGAAACAAGAATACAAGTGTTACAAAATAACAAATAATCTCTCTCATCCTAAATTAGGATTTGCAGTATGCAATGATGAGAGATTAGTATGCTATTTATAATAAACTAACATACTAAACTGGTAGACTTTTCACAAATACCCATTACAAGCTAACTTAGGGTACAAGCTAACTTAAACAATTGAACATAACAAACAGGCCCAATTAGCCATGCTAACAAACCTAGCATTTTCGACAACTATATGCTTGACCATACTTCGACTACAGCATACTACTTCGACACCAGCATGTGAGTGACTTTCGACTGCATGCTAATCTCTGTCGAACTAGTCGAACCACGAAGCTACCCTTCAATCTAATAGAGTCTGATTCAATATCTCACAAATCTCCACCTTGGAACAAACTCTAATATCAGAGAACAAACTAACTTTCTTCATGCAGCTTTATCAACTGCATACAGTGGAAAAACTTGCAACTTGGCAGTGTCTTGGTGATCATATCAGCAACATTGTGATATGTCGAAACCTTCAGCACTTGGACTTCTCCACGCTCGATTACCCCTCTGATGAAATGTAGCCTAATATTGATGTGCTTGGTTCATTCATGATAGGTTGAGTTCTCCGACAGGTGTATTGCACTTTGACTATCACATTTAACATTGATAACTCGACCTTTAAGTTTCAGCTCCTTACAAAAATCTTCAAGCCACAATGCTTCTTTCACAGATTCAGTGAGGGTGATATCTTCCGATTTAGTGGTTGATAAGGTTACAACCTTCTGAAGTATCGATTTCCTACTAATTGTTGTGTCAAACATAGTGAAAACATGTCCAGAGATATATTTTCTGGAATTCATGCAACCTGCATAATCAGAGTCGACATATCCTTCGATTACTGATTTACTATCTTCACCCAAGGCTCCAACAAAAATTAGGAAATTATTCAGAGACCCATTTATGTACCTTAAAATCCACTTCAATGATTGTCAACTGTTGCAACTGGTTTTTAAATCAAAGTCGCCACTCTTAATTTTTATCCTAAGGAAGGGAATATAAAGGAATAACCCTAAAAAGTTCAGAGATTCTAGATCATTGACACGGTTCTAGACGAGGGAAAGGTGTTAGGAATCCCTCACCTACCTTGTTCAAAAGGATACTAGTGTTAGAAGTGCGATCTTAGGAAATAGGGTTTTAATTTTTATTAGGGGAAATCGCCACGATTTTCGATCGTATGCCTATGTATCCTCTTAGGAGGAATCTGAGTCCCATTTCGTAGTTCGCGGTGGGTTTGTGTTTTTTTATGGATTGCGAAGGTATTCATATTTTTCACACGTTTAGTCTAGGAGTCGTGAATAGCGGGGATTGTTGGACTAAACGCGTGGTCGATTCGAATGAATTCGTAATCCCTTTTTAAAAGTTGTTTGTTGAATTAATTTGGTTTAAGAAAGTATGTCATAGTTGGTTAAATATTTTTTAATATATTAATTATTGAAAAAATATTCTATTTAAATGCATGATAGAAAAATAATTTTAATGCAATAAAATAAATTTGAATGAATTTAGAAGAAATGAAAATTTGTGTGATAAATAAAAATAATAATGAAATATAATAGTAAATATATTTGAATGCATAATATAAAAATGTATAATATTTATTATAATTAAATAAATAAAATATAAAATATAAAAATAAAATAAAAATGAAATAAATAGAATAAGAAAAATACTAAAAACGCAGGGGGTGCGAAATATATAAGGGTAGTAAAAAGACAGGGATCTAATAGGCAGAGACTGAATTCAGATATTGAATTCAGGCCCAAATGCCAGGGGGTGCGTTTTGGAGTTAAGCAATAAAACTGGGGTGCAGTCACCGTGGGTCGCGTGTGTAGGTCTGCATGGGAGTTTATAATGGGTGTGCGTTAAATGAATAGTTTGATGATGACCACAGGGTCATGATGGAGGGCATATGGCAGCGACATGAAATTGCATGCACAGGATCAGAGGGCATTATATTTTTCGTTTTCATCTTATTTTGTTTCATTTTCTGTTTTCTCTCTCTCTCTCTCTCTCTATCTATCTTTATCTCTATCTCTCTCTCTCTTTCACTTTGTTCTTCTCTCGTTTTCTCTCTTCTGAAGAGATCCAAACCCTAGCGTCGAACCCTTACAACCCCCAGGAGGCGGCCAACCCTAACCTAGATTTACCCCAGCATCAACCCCCAAACCCTAAAAAATCACAATATGAATCGTAAAACACAAGTTAAGTGGTTAATCGTTACCTACTTCACCGATCTTTGAGTTCATTTCTGACTCATCTCTGATTCCCTTTTCTCATTGTGTTTGCAGGTGTTTTCGAGTGAATGAGAGCGACGGTGATTAGAGGACACATGATCGACGATAGCGATCTGAAGAGTCTAGGGTTTTAGATGTTTAAACCCTAGATCTAAACAAAGAGGTGATTTTCGAAGTCTCTGCGGCTGGATCAAATTACTTCCCCAACTTCTGTTTCTACTCCTTCTTCTTCTTTTATTTTCCCCCCTCTCTGTTTAGATTTAGCCTTTTTATAGCTTTTAGAATTAGATAGTTTAGGAAATTATGATTTGATTTCCGTTAGAATTTTCAATTTAGATATTTTAGTTTTAGGAATTGATTGTAATAGGATTTGATTACAAATTAGGTTAGAAATTGATATGATTTTGTTGTATATTAGGATTGATTTGATTCTGTTTTTAACTCTTGGATGATTTTTGTTTACAAATGATATAATTTGATTTTATTGTTTGAGATCTGTATACATTTCAATTTACAAATGTTTTTTCTTTTCATTAGAACTGAACAGTACATGTTCATTGGGCCTAGGCATTGTTAGTGAAGAATAGGGTGAAGGGTGGACAATTAGGGTTGAAAACCCTAATTTTAATTTTGACTTTTGGTCAAAACTCATCCAAAAAGAAAAATATTTGATAAAGAATTTTTTTATAAAACAAATTAATTGATAATAATAATTATTATTAATAATAATAAGAATTAAAAATGTTTACTTGAGTCAACAAAAATCCAGCGTGATGGGCCATAAAAAAAAGGATATAGGCCTGCTATATTCCTCAATAGACCATTGTTTTCTTAATTAACCCCCCTTTCTTTTATTTGAAAAATGAGCCTCTTCAATCAAGTTTTTGGACTGGACCAATAACTGTTTAGTTATTGGGCCAACTTATCTCAACAAAACCATACCCCCCCCCCCCCCCCCCCCCTTTTATACATAAATGGGCCATTTTGATTTTAGAAAGGCCCCAAAATTCTCCCTAATGTAAACCCTCCCAAAGTTTGAAATGGGCTGAAAAACGAAACTAAAAGCCTTAATCAAAAACGAAATGGGCTTATCAAATTGGATTCTAAGCCCATAACCTAAGATACACGCTTCATTAGAGAGTGAACCCTTAATGGGCTAAAACAGATCAAATGAACTAAGAAGTCTCAAGTATATACACCCCCCCTTTCTATCTTTATTCAGACCTCTAAAATATCTTAATGGTCCATCAGATTTTGATAGTCTGTTGCACCCCAAAATTTACCCTCTCATATTCCTCAAAACATTGCAAGAAAAATCCCCAAGTGGCTCAAGGTTGCTCAAGGATTGACCAGACAAGCTATCTCCTAAGGCAGTCAACCCCAAATTAGGGTTTTGTGTTGCATCAAGATCTTTGAATACAAATGACCTCAAGTGATCCCCAATGTCCTAATACGTTCTCAAGGTCATCCATGTCAAGTTTCAAGCCTTGCAGAGGAAGTTTTCTCAGTCAATTGCTCAAAAGGTCCAAAAATCGACTGTGTTAGGGCAAAAGTCAATTGTGACCTATATACAGTCAAACTTCAATATTTTTTGTCAACATTCTCATTTTGAAGGATGTTTCATCATTTGATCAAGGGTTTATCATGATTCATCAAGGATTGCTCA